CGTGGAGCCTCATGCCTCGATGGCCGCCATGGCCCCGCGCGGCAGGCGCCCCTCCGAAGTGCGCCGCGCGACCCCAGCTCCAAGCTGAGCGAAAGGGGCTGGATGAACAGGGCAGAGGGGATGAGGAGGAGGAGGCGGATGGAGGAGGATGCAAGCTACTCTTGGAGGTGGAGCAGGGGAGAGACTTGGGGCAAAACATGCGGGAGGGTGGGCGGATGCTTGTTCGGATATTGGGGTCGAACGGTCTCAAGATTTGACAATGAAATGGCCCGCACGTATTCCGCAGCATTGTTTTTTGTTCGCTGCAAACGAAATCAGAGAGGTACCTTCCGCCGAGGCCAGGGTCACCAGACCCCCTGCGGGCACTTCTGTTTCACATGTATCGCACCACACGTCCACGCCCCAATGTCAAGGCATAATTCGCCTCCAGATTAACTCGGTTTCCCTCCCCCCCCGCATGCCTGGACACAATTGGCGGCGCACATGCGTTGGACGAAGACGATGCTTCCTCTAAGAACCCCGTGCAAAACAAATACCTTACGGGGCACATGCGTGCGCCGCCGCGCGCTCACGTAACAATCCTTCAATTGTGTTTGGCTCGTAACAGTGGCAAGGCATGGCTAGCCACAAACTGACACAACCCATGTGAGTCTCAACAAAGCCACGGGCAGAATTCAACCCGCGCGCACTCGCTGGAATCTGTAGAACACCAGAAAGGTTGTGAGACGTTCTGTCGAGCCAGACCGTGCGGGCCGCTTGCGCGCGCATGTCGAAACCATTCAACCACCATCGCGCGCCCACCAATCCCGTCAAATAAGACAATGCGGGCCACACGGGCACGCCTCCGTGCGCGCGCATCGAAGTCCGCCCAAAACCGTTGCCTGTTCAAAACAAGGTCAGCGCAGAGGTCTTCGAAAGCATACAAAATCCGACTTGTCTTGAATCAAACCATATCACGGTGTCTGGATTACTGCGGGCGAGCACATTCTCATCACCGTCATTATCGTCAGCGACATCATCGTCATCGTCATCGTCATCATCACTATCGTCGGGATCATCGTCATCGCCGTCATCGTTGAAACAATCGCCCTCGCCAACATTGTGTGGGCGGACACCTCCTCATCATCATCACCAGCACCGGCACCATCGTCATCATCGTCGCCCGCGTCATTTACCACCTTCATTCTCATCACCATCATCTGCATCCTTACTGTCGACGTCGGCATCGCATCGCCCCAATATCCACTGGAATAGGCATCGGCATCAGCGGCATCACCGCAGGCATCGCCAACGTCGTTGTCGTCGCTTTCATCACCATCGCCACCACAATTTTGCGACCTGGAGGACGGAATCGTCTGTGCGATTGAGTTCCCGGGCGCTCGTTGAGATCATGGCCATATCAGTTTTGCTAACAGGTTACGGGTGGGAGCGTGGGATGCTTGCACGAGCATGGGAGATCGTCACGCGCAGATGTTGTGCGGTGGGTGAATTCCGCGCTTTAGGTTGTACCTCGTGGATTGCGCCCCATACAGACCACCATAGACATTGCCCCACATGGATTCCATCATTGCGGGTGTAGCATATGCACTATATGGTACATTAACAAGCATGCGACACGAATTCCACCACAGGGCTTGCAGCACTTTGAAACATGTGCAGGTGCATATGCATGTACACATACATATGCATCTTCATTTGCATGTGCACATGCACACACATATCTATATATATATATATACATGTTTATGCATATGTATGTATATGTGCGCTTATGGATGCATATGTATGCTGTATCTGGCGACCTGGTCCAGGACCCCAGACCAGGGACCCCGGTCCCGATGTCCTTGAGGTTTGGAGCCCTCCTGGAGCCCAGCGGGGCCATCTTGTAGGTCTGCGCAGTCGGCCGCAACGGTCAAACCCATTGAAACACATCAGTGTTCGGAAACATAGGTTTGTCCCTTCAGTCGTTTCCGTCTCCACCGTGTCCAAGACGCCTCAAAGTACCTCCAAGATTACCCCGAGGACCTCGCTTGGGGTTCCTGGCGCCCGGGCGGGCTGCGGCATCGTCCCCCATCGGTCCTGCACGCCCCCAGGCTGGCCTTCGGACACTAAAGTATCGATGTGTCAGTGTCGGGCCAGGTCACGGGGATTTTTCTGGAGTATTCTTGGAGTTGTTTGGCGCCGTCCTGGAGGCTCAAAAGTCCTCCTTCTTTCTTCCCCCCCACAGAGCCGTTCCCAGGCGCCCAAACTCCTTCCCACACGATTTGCATGATCCAAGAGTTCTCGATGAGGTGGCCTCAGCACCGCCGCATGCTCCCAGAAAACCTTGGGGCACCTCCCAGGGAGGACCCCAGAATAAAAGACAGGAGGCCTCCAAGAGGGCCCCTAGATATCCAGGAGGACCTGAAGAGGCCTGCATTTTCTGAGCAGCAGTGTTTTTGGTATGATGTAAGCATGCTTGTCTTTTCGGCCTGCAGCGTGTCCAAGACAGCACCCGAAGACGGTAAGACCGCTCAAAGTTGGCCCGACGATATCCAAAAGGCCCATAGGGGGTTCCAAGATCCTTTTCAAAGCCCGCGCACCAACCATAGACGTCACGCCCCTTTCCGCAGGATGGGGCTAGGGATCCTTTCGGTGCGACCTTGGAGCGACGAAAAGTATTTGGAAGGCGGCCCATGGGCGACACAAGACGCGCAGCAAGACTTTAACTCGGGAGGGGCCCCAAGCCCGTAGAACGAGGGGCCACCTGTGGAATTAAGCTCAAAAGCAGGAGGGGGGCAGTTGGAGGACGAGGAGGCGACGGCGTAAGATGTGAAGGTGCAGTGGGCGCCTTGCCAGTGTACCTGTAACTCCTGGGTGTCCCGAGCATCTTAGATTGAATCACACATTCACAGAGTCTGGGGCTAAGAATTGTTAGAAATTGCTCGCGCGAAGAGCCCGCGTGGTTATGGCGTGTATGTATACATGTATACAGATATATTGATATACCTATGTCCGTATGTATTCACATACATGTGCATATCTACACATATATAGAGAAAGAGAGACAGAGAGGAACACACAAGAGACAGATATTCTAACCGTCGCCGCACTAATGCAGGGTCGGGAGTGCGCCCTCTTCGGGGTCTCTTGAGGCAGTTCTCGGGCCGTCTTGGGGGCCTCCTGGGCCAGCTTGGGGCCCTCTGGGGCCGTCTCGGCCTCTCAGGGCAATCTTGGGGGCCTCTTGGGGCTGTTCTGGGGGCCCAGTTGGACTGTCTTTGGGCCCTCTTGGGCTGTCTGCAGCCCCTCCAGGGGCCCTCTTAGACCGTCTTGGGCCCCTCGTAGGCCGTCCTGGGCTCTTCTTAGGGCCGTCGCCGTCTTGGGCACCTATGGGCCATCTTGGAGCGATCTCGAGGACCTCCGTGCGGCCGTATCGAGCGCTCTGGAGACCGAGAAGCCGAGTCTGCGAAAATTGAGCCTAAATCTCCAGAAATTCCATAACTGCTGCTTCCCAGGAGTCGTCTCCGGGCCCCCTTGGGCAATCTTCGGAGCCCGTCAGGCCGCCGAGTGGCCATCTTGGGCCATCTTGGGCCCATCGTGGCCGTCTGGAGGCGCTCGTCGGGCCCGCCTGAGGTCTCCTGTGGCCCTCCGGGGCCGCCTTGGGGCCATCTGGGGCGGTCTTGGGCCCTCCCTGGGCGCTCCAGAATCAGGCTCCCCGGACTGGCGGGGAGTTGTGTCGGGTCAGTTCTATATGAGGAAGCCGATTAAATTCGTGCAGCTAAAAAATGCATACACGTGCGCCTGTCGCATAACTTAGATTGCACCACGCAGCCTGCACCCAACATCTTGCACATTGCAAAACGTATGCTGTACTACATAGATATCACCACATAGCTTGATGACCAACCAACATCTATGGCAACCTATTTGCTGCGCCGATTGCAACCCATGTAAGATCCCGGGTCGAGGGTTCGTAGCCCCCCGCCCCCCCCCCCAGATGGGATGTGTCCCAGGGTTCCACAGCCCCCCCTCCCCCCCAGATGTTATGGGGGGCGATAACGACGACGACCACGACCGCGACCACGACCGCGACCACGACCACGACCACGACCACGACCACGACGACGACGCAGACGCCGATGCCGATGCCGATGCCGACGCCGACGCAGACGCCGCGGACGACGCCGACGACGACGACGACGACGACGACGACCCGACGACGACGACGACGGCCGACGGACGACAGACGACGGACGACGGACGATGACCGACGGACGACGGCCGACGGACGACGGACGACGACCACGACCACGACGACGACGACGACTAACCACCCCACACCCACAGGGGGGGAGCACCAGCACCATTCCCCTCGAACGCCTTCAGGGCCACGATCAAATGGGGGTGGGAAAGATTCCATTCGCAAGGCCTTCGCGAGGCTGACGGGCGTACCGATCCAGCGGTGGGGGTGGTGCTTGATCCCAAATGCGTTGGGGGGGATGCAACCCTGAATCATACATTGCGCATGCAGAGTGCAATAACTCATGGTTCAGGGCCCGCGCTGGCAAACAGGATAGAGTGAGCAAGTCTGTCTTCTCAGAGAGTTGGAGAGCGAGAGAGAGAGAGAGAGAGAAAAAAAAAAAGACGGCAAAACGCTCAGGGGTCTGAAGACTGATGCAATGATGTGAATCCCGTTTTGCCGATGATAGAGAATGCTCGGTCAGTGAAGGTCCCCTGGCCCCCCGAAGTAGGGCCCGTGGAACACGCTTTAGCACCGTACAGAGTAATGCACGGGCGTCCCAAGCGAGAGACATATTGTGAAAACGATTCTCCCTTCAATCCGTGGACATGGAGATCGTCTCAATCATTATTGCAAAAGCACGCCTCGTGGTGCGAAGAAGAGGAGCCAGGAGCCACTTAAGAGGAAGTGGGATGGAGATGGAGAAGGAGAAACAAGAGGAGCTGGAGGAGAAGTCGAAGGAGTTCCCCAGCTCGGGTACATTCCTCCTGTTGGCCACCAGCCCGACGTTTTGCCCCGGATGGCGCCCTTCCAGCCTGGAGCGGTAGTTGTTTGCACTGCGGGGCCGCAGCCGGCGCTGGCGACCGTCACCAGTGGCCCGCACGAGGAGCCCGTTCTCTCCTGCACCCGCTCTTTTAACCACGAGCAGCTCCTTTGAAGCCCATCGTGGGCCCCTGGACTGGTGCACATACCCCCTATGCCGTACAGTCAACACCAGCGTTAAGCATGTGCCTTTCTCGCAAGTGCACCTCATTCGGCCTTGGCCAGTCTTGGCACGTCTGGGTGCGCGCATCCTTAGCTTTAGCCGTTCCAAGGGTCTTGCATCCTTACTCTCTGTTTTTATCGCTAACTTCGACTGTTGACAAGAAGGGTCCCTATAGGCCTATAGGCTTTTGCCCAGGATTCAAGAGCAGGGTTCCAAGCAAGCGCTCAGGCCGGGCTGCCGCCCCGTGCTGCCTTTGTGGGGGGGAGGCACCCCCGATGAAGCCGATCGGGCTCCCACTCCGTGAAGTCCACGGGGGCGCTCCTGGGGGCATCCTCGGTGCTTTTGGGGGGCACTGTTGCGCGGAATGCGGGGGGGGACCGCCTTGACCGGAGAATTGTTACACCATTTGGCGTGCAGCATTTGCATTTTGGAAGCCGCATGAAGGCGCAGATAGCCTCGTATTGCTTCGTCCAGATATTGCTGAAAAGTACTCAGGCAGCTTCGGATAGCCTTGTGTAGCCTAGGATCGCTTCGATTAGTCGCGGATCGCCTCCTAATGTATTGTTTAGTGGCGCAGGTCGCAATGGTGGGGGGCAGGAAATGTCCCCCGAATAATTGATGCAAACCTTGAGGTGCTTTGGGCCGTCCTGAACCTCCATCTTCCGTTCTGGTGAGGGCACTGACCGCTTTCACCGCTGCCACTTTGGGGGTGCAGGATCTTGCTTGCCACTTCTTGTGATGCGGATGTGGGGAATTTCACGCGAGAGCAGCCAAACACGTATACGTTGACACCTCTCCCTGGCCACTTGATCGCCGAACAGTGTTTTACTTTGGGAATTCTACCTTGTCGCCACCCTACCCTCCCTCCTATCCATCCTCCTATGTTTCCTTCCCTCCCCTTCCGACTCCTCCCTCCCTGTTTGTCTCACCTCGCCAGGCGGTGGCGGCAGCATTCCACGCTTGCCCGCGGGACGTGCTTGGGCATTCGCCATCTCCGTCTTTCTGGGCGAGCTCGCCTTCTCTGGGCACACCCTTCGGCAGGGCAGGTGCTCCCCTGGCCGATCATGGCGTGGAGACAGAGGGACCGTGGTAGTTAGGCTGTGCGCGGCGTGTTCAGGTGTTGGCCGTGGTGGTTTATGATAACCCTTCTACCTCGGCCCACCCCCAGGCAGTCCTCCGTCGTTTCCTGTCCCCACCCGCCCGATTTGGCGATGCTTGTGTATAAACCGTCGACACGGAACTCAGCTCTCCCTCTGAACACTTCCTCTCTCCGCATTCCTCCACCTATATCTCATCTTCCTCCTCGTCTGCATCGTCTTGCTCGTCCTGCTGCTGGTCCTTTTCGCCCCCCCTCGTTCCCCCTCCCTCGCCTGTGGCCCTCGTCGTCCCCGCAAGGCCCTCAAGACGCCCCCCCCCAAACGCCACCGACGCCTCAGAACCAGTTGGATCGGGGGCCACAGAGGGGGGGAGCCTATGGGTGGGGCCAAGGAGAGAGCCCACCTTGAGTCCCACGCTTGCTCTTCCATGGGCTGTCCATCGCGATCTACCTGCAGGCCCTGCATGCCCCCCACCCCCTCTGCAAGAGCCACCACGAGGGCGCGAAGTTATTCACGGTTCTCGATTCGCGATTCCCCAGTTTCATTTTCTTCGTCTCCCTATTCCCCCAGTGGCGGCGGCGCGAGAGCGCGAAGTTAGTCGCCTTTCGCGCAGCCCCAAGGGCAAACATATTTGCCCTTGCTCTGGCCCTGCGGCATATGTGGCTCGTGTGTTCGCGGCGGCGACCCCATCGCGGGCGCCCAAGGACGCCGCCAGTGGCCCAGAGTCTTCCGACAGCGAACGATGCGCGCTAGTCGGGAAGTTGCGATCGCTCGAGGTGGAACGATCCATGCGAACCCGCCGTTCCCCCGTCGTCGCACAATCCGTGGCAAACCCGCTGTGCGGAAACCTTTCGAGCAAAGCCCCAAAGGCCGTCACACGTGACGCCCCTCGCCGCAAATTCTGGAGCTCCCACGAGGACCACTCTGGGCCAACATGTGGCTGCGCTGCCTTGGGGCGCCTCTGGGGTTGTCCTGGAAGGAGCAGCAGCGCCACCACCACCAGCAGAGCAGAGGGGGCCTTTTCAGCGAGGGGTCCACGATACCTCTCCGAGCTGGAGACGGGGACGTCTCGAGCGAGAGGTGGGGGGACCACATCAACAGGAGGACCCTCCCTGGCGCCTCGCGCTGGTGGTGGTGGTGTCGCCTTCTCCTCAGTTTCTACCCAAGGGCCGCCGCCGAACAAGATGCAGGGCAGCGAGGCACCGACAGCTTTTTCGCAACTACGTGTGAGAGAGCTGCTGTTTGCTGCTGGTCTTGGGATCCAGCTCCGGGCGTCTGTGCACCCTCACGCCTACCCACGAGCCGCCGCCGCCGAACGCCCGTCCAGAGCTTCCAGGGGCCGCCGCCGTCGCCAGAAGCCGGCGCGGTGCTGCCAAGCAGCGCGCATGTCGTCTGCACGCGAGCTGGCCGTGCCCTCCACCCTCCTCTCTGCTCCTGCCCGCTCGATCCGATTCGATTCCGATGTTCCCGCGATCCGATGCGGCCCGATGCTTGCATGGCATTGCTGTGCATCCTGGCGCAGTCGATCCGATCCGATTTCGCTCCACGCCGATGGCGCCCGATGTGACGCACATCCCGCTTCGGTCCGATTTCCCGATCTGATGCCGACTGATCCTGCCCCCCTCCTTTGGCCTTTGGACGCTCGACTGACGCTTCCAAGGACCACCGCCGTCGCCGACGCTGGCGGGCCCCCTCTCGGTCCTTTCTAAGGCGTTTGGCAATGGGGTGCATGCATGTACGCTTGGATGTGTGCATGTATGCATGCATGTATGAATGTATGTGTGTATGTATGGATGTTTGTATGTGTGTTTGTCTGTCTGTCTGTCCGTCTGTCTGTCTGTCTGTTTGTCTGTCTGTCTGTCTGTCTGTCTGTCTGTCTGTCCGTCTGTCTGCCTGTCTGTGTGTGTCTCTATGTATGTATGTATGTATGTATGTGTATATATATATATATATATATGTACGGTCCATAGGGTTGGGGTTGGGGCCGAGGGATGCATGAAAGGGGCCCTCAAAGGAGCCGCTCGGGGCCCCGGCGGTGCACGAGATGCGCTCCCTCCTCCATCCGCGGCGCTTGCTGCCCCCCAATTAATCATGAGGGGGAAAAACACAGGCACAATTCATCGTCGATTACCTTGAAAATATAGGAAGTTCGGGAAGTGGGGGGGAAGACAAAAACCCAGAAAATATGAAAAAATCTGGGGAGTCCTGTCATTTGTGTGTGTATCCCTTTGTGTCCCTGGGCCCCTTCAATTAAGCAACGCCCAATTTTCCGAACGCCCGACTGGAACTTCCAGGAGCCGCCGCCGGGCGGAGCCCAGCCACGATCTCCCCCCCGCCCCCCCTTCACCACTCGTCGGTGGCTTCGACTGGTACGATCGACGGTTGGGAAAGAACGGACACGAACACCGACAGCAGTTCCTGGCCACTTGGAGCAGGGCTTGATGTCGGCATCGCCGCGAGCGTTGCGCACGTGGGACAGACACTGCGTGCACACCGGCGGCCGCTGTCGGCTTTCGGGCAACATGTGTCGCTTGGCTCAGGAGGAAAAGAAACACACTGACACAATTAATCGTCAATTCCCCAGAAAATATGGGAAATTATGGGAAGTGGTGGGGAAGACAAAAACCCAGAAAATATGGGAAAATATGGGGAATCATTTTATTTGTGTGTATTTATTTGTGTGTCCTGGGGCCCCTTCATTGGCATCGTGCCCATGTTCTCTGTACCCCTTCGGGCGTGCCTGGCCGAGGAAGGGGTGAGGACCGGGTCCGGGGCGGCTGGGCCGACCCATATGGCTAGCCGACCCCCTGCGTGATGGGACGTGGGCGGGCGGTCAGAGGGAAGCCTCGAGGGTTACTCGGTGCGGAGGGGGCTAGTTGCGGAGGATGTCGTGCCCGATTCAGGGGATGTATGAGTCCTCCTCCCCTCTCCCCTTGCGGGGACAATCCCCTATCCACGCCTCCTCGCACCTGCCAGGTGGTCGACCTTCGGGTCTTGCCTTCGGGCTCCACCCGACAGGAGGCGGGGGGGTGGTGGAGAAGGGGATTGGCCTCGCCCTCGGAAGCCAAGGACTGCTGAAATCGCCGTTCCCCGAGTTTTTTTCAACGTTCAGAGGCTCCTTATTGCCCTCGTGGTGCAGGGCAGCCCCTAAGTCCCCCACCACAGGGCGCTGCAGACTGCCTGTGGGCCCCCCCCCAGCATATGCGGCTGACTCCTAAACGTAGGCCCTCAGGGTAAGGTTAGAAAGCCAGCAAACTTTAACCCAGGCAAGGAGTGCTGGCCAGAGTGACCAACACACCTTTTTTTTCAGGTGCTGACTTGTGGAACACTGCCCCTCAGAGCTTGATTGATTGATATATGTATATAATATATGTATATATATATATATATATATATATATATATATATATATCATTTGGCATGAACGTCTGAATTAGTGCGATGGTGGTTACTGATGTCTGTCTGCGCAGCTACAAGCTGCACAGGCAGGGCCTAACCGCATTTTCGTGACCTTCGTGGTGGTTGGCCGGCCGTGCAGACGGTCCACTCAAGATCCTCGCCTCGCTAACCGCCATGTGTCAAGCAGTGGCGAAGCGTCCTGGCGTGCCTATAGGCCCACCAAGCAATGTTGTTCTAATAATTGTTTGTGGTGTCTACGAAATGTTCTTATAACATTTCTGGCTGGGACTATCTTGTTTTAGCACACCGGGTCTATGTTCCAAGAACATCATTTTGTTCGTAGAACATTTTGGGGTTCTAAGAACGTGTTGTGGTAGGCCTACAGGAATGCCGGGACGGTCGGTCCCTGCTCAAATCTGAGCTTACAGAATAGTGGCCTGGAATTTCGGGATCTCATCGTGATATCCCACGTCGTTTTCACACCAGATTAACCACCAACGCCCCAGCCACACCACTGTCGATATTTAAGGTCATGGCTGGGGCCATGACATCTCAAAGGTGTCATGGCCGCCTCTTCTGCTTTCCGCACGTCCCTTGGCCCCCCCTCGTCGGCGCAGATGCCCCGGGCCACGATGCGCAAGCCTCCTTCTTCCCCCAGCCCTCCCCCCGTCGGCGCACCCGGCCCCAGGACGGCAGCTACGACCTCGACTGCCTGGCGGGGGCCAGGCGGGGCTCATCCCTTGGCCTGCTCCTCACTGGCCTTGCTCCCGCTCCTGCTCCTCCGCCTTGTCCACCTCGTCTCGGCCGCCTCATCGGCCTCCACTCGGCTTCACCCCAAAATACTTATACTATATGTGCGTCGCCCCCCCCAGGGGCGGCGCGCGCACCGAGAAATCTTATAGTATATGCGTCGTGGCGGGCGCTTTCTGGCCACACCACTCGGGAAACGATATATTACAAGATGGGTGTACTGTATGTTCGGCTGGGACCGCGCCTCCAAGGAAAACATATAGTATTAGTACGTCTCTGTGCGTCCCATCCACTTCACCACATTTCCTCACGCTCTTCCACGTCCTCACTCGCCTCCACCTTCACCACCTCAGCCCTCGTCCTCGTCCACCACCTCGTCCTGGCGGTTGTGGTCCTCCCCAATCATCCTCGTCCTCCTCCTCCTTCTTGTCCTCCTTTCCGCTCCTCCTCTTTCTAGTCGTCCTTCTCAGCCTGCTCCTCTTTTCCCTCCTCCCTCTGGATCCCATCCCGTCGGGTCCTTTCCCATTGGATTCCTCCCCTTGGGCCCCCAACAGAAGTAGGGCGTCCGCGCGGACTCCCTATAGGAACTGCGCGAGCGGATTGCGGGAAGAAGAAGGGAACGGGGGGCTGAGGGGATTCTACGGGGGTGGGAAGGAGGCAAGGAGGGGAGAGGGACGAGGAGGCGAGGGGGCAAGCGGGCAGACGGGAGGGTTGGACAAAGAGGAGGAGGGTATGTAAATATGTGAGTTACACGATCGAGCAATTTATTCGGCGGTCCCCACACGGTGTGGTGGCCACACCGTGTGGTGAGTCAGTTTGGATTCGGGGTGATGACACGGTTCTCCGAGGATGTCTCGGGCGATTGGGGCCTCCGGAGTCTCAAAAAGCGCGCGGTGACAGACCGTGCGGTGAGGTCTTCGGGGATTCCGAGGTCGCTGCACGGTCGGTCACCGCACCGTTTCGGGACCCCCAGATTATCCTCATCAAGTTTGTCAGGAGGGTTTGGCCAGGGTTGACTGGAGGGCTGGTAGGGGCTGGCTGGAGGGATGACTGGGTTCTTTTCGACAAGTAGTTGTCTCCGCAGCGCGTCGTAGGAAGCCGACGCCGATCAATCAGATCGGCAAGCGAGGTTCGATGATTGAGGGTTTGGCAGGTGAGGGGCGTCCTTTTTACGCGTCTGGAGGCCTCCAGAGACCTCCGTTGACCTTTGGGGTCTCCGTGAGACCTCGGGCTCGGTGGGGAAAGGAAAGGGCAAGACTGATGATGCCGCAGCGCTCGAGAATGCACACGCAGTGAAGGACAGCGGCAAGGAACATACGAATGCATGGGCGGGGTAGTGATGCGTGGAAGGGAAGGAGGGGACAGGAACATCAAGAAGCCACTGGTAGCGGAAAATCCACACCCCTGACGTCGCGTGTTGATTCACGACCCGGGCCTTTGGGCGCTCGACCCTTTTTCGGCATGTCTGGTTTTCGCCGCGGGCCGTTGATTGTGGACACCAGGCCCGAGAAGGGTCGCCAGGCGCAGAAATCGCAAACAGAGGCGCGCGTGTGTCGATCCCCTCCCTCCTGCGCCTGAGTGCGCAATTCGCTTCCGTCGCGCCTCACCCTGAGCCGACAGCCTGCTGCACCCTGCTCGCCGCCGGTCAAAAGCGCACGTTTTCCCCCGCCCGCGACGCTCGAGGTCCGTGCCCGGCTGTGGAGGCAGCTGTGTGGCAGGCCTCCCGCGGGGGCGTGCAGGTCAACGCGCCTCGCGCTCCTCCGCCTGGGCGGGAGGCGCACTCCTCTCCCAGGGGGGGGTGGGCGCGAGATCGCAGATGCAGCCGCGCTTGGCGCAGCACGGCGCGCGGAGCTCAATTCTATCGGGGGAGCGTAAGACCCGGGTTTGCCGGGACTCAGGTTCGCCATCGTTTTTTGACGACCGCGACTCGGATTTTGACGAGGAGGAGTTTCGTGGGATGTCTGCAGCGGGAGGCCTCGTCAAAATGCAGGCTCGGCCTCGTCATTTTTTTGACGACCTCGTCGGGGATTTCCGAGTCCCCCGTACCCGTGTCTTACGTCTCCCCGATTCTATCGGGGGTGGACAGAACCCCCAACAGTGACACGTCGATTAGTGAGTTGTCCGTTTTCGGTTCTCGAGAGGGCGCCGTGGCCGTTTTTTTTCCAGGCTTGCGCCCGCCAGGTTTGGGCCTCAGGTCGTTTTCACTAAACCACGTTTTGCTAAAGGGGGGTCTGTCCATCCCCGATTCTAGACGCCGGGATAAGGAGCGGCTCGGGTGTTCGGGCCGCTTCCCAGATGTGCGATGGGGAGCCTTTTCTGGCCGAGGCTCGCCTTGGCAAACAAAAAGCCTCCTCAGTCGGAATTTCTTACGATCAGGACCGTGGCTGTAGGTTTGCGGGTGGCGCAGATCACTCGAGGGCGCAAGAGCCGCGTGAAGTGTCGGATTCTGCGCCCCCCCCCCCCCGCCCTTGCACGGGCATGTGTGCCCAGGCCAGACGTCATCCGCGGCGTCCGCGGCGGGGAGATCGTGGAGTGCCTCCTCTTCCTCCTACTCACCCTCCACCTCGTCGAGCCCTGCGGGGCTAAGCGGCCCACCCCCCTCTCTAGCCAGCGGCAGAGATGCGACGAGGCATGGGCTGCGTATTTTGGGGTTCCCTTGGGATTCAATCGAGAGAGCCCCCAGAGCAGGATGACTTGCTCAACGGGGAAGACGACGGCGAGTTTATTTCCTCGGGGGGGCCTTTCTTGCCCCCTGGCTGGTCTTCGGCTTTTGAGCCAGGGATGGGCCCCCCTGGAGGGTTCTTGCAGGACTGCCGAACTGCTTTCTGTCTCTCTCCCTCGGTGGCGTGCGACCCCTGACCCAGGGAGGACACGACGCTGCACAACCGGCCGTCGGCGGTCCGCAGGGATGTCCGGGGCCGGCGTTGGGCCCCTGTGGCTCGAGGAAGCGCAGCACGTGGATTTTAAGGCGCCCGCGTGGATTAGCGTCGGGCCCCGTTCCCATGCAGACTCGGCGCGCTCCGTCGCCGGGTCGGGCGGCATCGGCCTGATGTTCCGGAGGGTATCTCGTGGCCTTGGGCCCATCCCGCCAAATGGTGCCTCTGAGCTGTGGGTCGGTCACGGGCCTCGAAGGTGGTCGTTGGGATGTCGCGGGAGGCCTCTCGGGGGCCTCTTGGGGGTCGTTTTTGAAGTCTCCTGGGGGCCGTTTGGGAGCCTCCTGGGGCGTCTTCGGGCCCTCTTGGGGGTCTCCTGGGGCCTCCTGGGAGCTTCTTGTAGCGGAAGACGCGGGTTTTCGGTTCGTGTTCCCCTTCTTTGGGGCCCTTCTTGGGGCTGCCTTTGGGCCATCTTGAGCCATCTTGATCGCCTCTGGGGCCGTCTTGGAGCCCTCTTGGGCCGTGTTGGAACCCTTTGGGGGCCTCTGGGGCCGTCTTGGGGCGGTCCTTGGGGCCTCGTGGGCCGACTTGGAGCGTCGGGAGCTCGAAACGTCGAGGACCCCACAATCATTGAAGAATAAATGGGAAATCCATGATTTGGGCCTCTTGGGGAGGCTCTTGGGGCGTCTCGGGACATCTTGGGCCGTCGTGGGACCATCTTGGTGTGATCTTTGGGCGTCTCGGGGCCCTCTTGGACCGTCTTGGGTGCCTCGTGGGGCTCTCTTGGGGCCTTGGTCAGAAAAACTCATGCAACAAGACGCGGGGAGCCCCCGACAAGCGGCGCCAAGCCCTGGGAGACTTGGCAATGTGGAGTCCGGGAGGGGTAAGGACTGAGGCTTCGAGGATTACGCCAAGGACCTGATGACACGCCCAATCCGTGCCCAGCGACACGGTGGCGGATTTTTCCCCATCCATGGATGTGGCGCCCACCCGCGAGATCTACTTAGCTGTAATCCATTTTAACGTGGCGGCGCCTCCGGCGCGCTCCGTGCGCCAGGGGAGGGAATAAGATCTCCACGCGGAGTTCCAAACATCTCCGTTTGTGCAGGTATTCTTGTCGCCGTTGTTATTGATTGTTTTGCCGATCGGCGCTTGCCCTCGCCCCCGCCCCCTCCCTCTTCCCCGCCCATGGAGTGAATCTTGGTTATTTTTGGCGCGTGTTTCAGGCAGGTGGAACCTCCCCCATAATTCACCACCTACCAAACCACCCCAACCCAACCCGAAGGCCTCCGTTTGCCCTCCATTTCCAGTGGGGGGGGGTCGGGGAACATCGAGAAAACACGTATGGAACCCATACCCCCCCCACCCGAAATTTGGGTCTTCGGGTTGGGTTGGGGTGGTCTGGTAGGTAGTCAATAATGGACGCAATGCTGCAAACAGTCGTACTATGCAGGGGTCGGGAGCCAGATCCCCCTCCCCGCTCTCTCTCCGATCCCCCGCGCATATGAGCAGCTCCTCCTCGTCGTACCACCAGACGTGCCGATATTCGAGCCAGGCCTTTCGCCTAAGACTTCATCAACATTGATGACCACAAAGCTTGAACGTTCTAGTAGTTACAGGGATGGGTGGCGGATGCTTTTGAAAACATGGCTCTACTCTGAGCGCCGCCAATGTTTGTGTTCTACGTGATCTCCCAACACTTCAATGATGGATGGCGAGTAGTTGTCGACACACCTTCTACAACAGCTATGAGCATGGAGGGCGGGTGGTTTTCAAAATGCGGGTCTCGCCTGCGAAGATTATCCGGAATAACGCTCCTGGGACGATGCCCAAAGGTGGGCATCTCAAGGGACTGGGTTGCCATGGGACGGTAGTACCTTTCAATGTTGGGCGATGTTGCTACACAGACAGAATATGGCATGGGCGTCTTCTTTGTAGCTTCTCCTCATGCATCTCTCCTCCCGCCGCCCCGTGTCTCTTTCAGTCCTCTGTATTCCTCTTCCTCCTTCCTTCTACTCCTCCTTCTACCCCTCCTCCTACTCTTCCTCCTCTACCCCTCCCCCCTTCTCCTCACCCATCCCGTCTCATCATTCCTCTTGCCTGCATCTGACCCATCCGCCGCCCCCCTCCTCCAACCTCCCCCTCCTGCTCCTCATAACCGTCAGGTACTACAGCGGGTCCATCGGCAAGTGGATCCCCGCGCAGGTGCTTCGAAAGGGCCACGCCAATGGAACCTTCGACCTCGACTGCAAGGAACGTTCACTCGGCTACTGATCCCAAGGTTGTCCTCCTCCTCCCCCCCACCCTCCCTCGTTTCTCCTTCCTTCTCATCATCCTTCTGTACCTCCTGGCGCTTCCTCTTTGGTCCTCCTCCTCCTTCATTCTCATTCGGGATCTCCAATGGGGGGGAGGAAAGCGGATGGAGGAATGGGATGAATAGGAGAAGGATGATGGGGGACGGGTTGTGGAGCAGAAGGAGGAGGAGCAGGAGGAGGAGGAGGGGGAGGCAGGCAGACAAGCATGAGGACATGATATATAATGAGGACGAGGATGGGGAGCAAGTGGAGCAGGAGGAGGAGGAGGAGGAGGAGGAAGTGAATAACATTGAGGGGGAGGCGGCGAACAACGATACGCATGGGGATGTCAGACGAGGGGGAGGAGGAGGAGGAGGAGGAGGAGGAGGAGGAGGAAGAAAAGGAGGAGGTGTTTGTCCATACCGTTACGACTGGTTGAGAAGGGTGCGCTTATTCAGCATGCAGGTTGTACAGCTTTGTTTCCGGACTGTCGTCGTTCCCGGCGCCGTTTGGTTCAAGTACCACTTTGCCTCCCTGAAAACGGTTCTTACCATACTTCTATTGCCATGGTAGCGGAGCCCGTGGTTCGTCCCACAGGTGCCAGAGCAGAGATGGCAGCGGCGGCCGCTGCAGCGACCCCAGTGGACCGCGGCAACAGCGATCCGGGCTACCAAGTCTTGTTATTTGGAACGCGTGAAGCCTGGCGAAAGCTAGGCACAGGCCAGTTTGCAGAACTACGCAATGCAGATTACGAGAACACAAAGGTTACCCGGGCCGCCACTCAAATGGGGCTCCCCAGGTTACCAAGGGCACCGAGCCCCAGGACGGCAAGGAGGAGGTCAGGGAGGATTTGTGCCTGTCAACGAGAGGTAGCCTCACAAATGCACCGAAAAGGCTCACATCGCAGCCCGTTGTCCCAACAAATCCAATGAGGTTACCCCAAGCCAAAGGGTGGGCAGGAGGTCCAGGAGAGCCCGCGCAGATGTTAGAACAACCCCGATTCGGACCAGGGCGCCACAGTGTCGAAATGGGCAACGCTACTGACAATGGCGGAGGTACCAGCAACATCATAGCAGCACGGCTGGTTCAAGGGGTCAAGGAGTGGAGGGCGCAACACCAGGTGACGAAGATGAGGAACCAGGAGGTCAGGTCAGGGATCAAGAGGACGTCTGTGTTGCACGGGCGCGGGTTCACCCGCAACTGTGGCGCTAATTTCGGCTATGCGTACGAGTGACTTTTCGCCAGAATGACCTTTGGTGCGGGCTTTCCGGGGTCCCCAGATGGCTGCGTGCGATGCGATGGCAGCGGCTTGCGCGCTCCTGTTTGGCCTCCCCGCGGCCTCCGGACGTCGCGCGTCAAGGTCGCTTTTGCCAATGGTCACTCCCGCGCGTGGCCGTCAAATGTGAAAACCAGATTCCGGAGCATGTCAAACAGGAGAAAGTTGGATGAGAAAATACTCCGAGTCAGTAAGTGGGGGTGGACGGCCCCAACAAGTGAACGAAGTACCAGTGATGGGATCAGGAAAGTGGGATTGAGGCGAGTGCTGTTACTGTGGATCCAGGAGACCACAGCGTTCGGATGCAACTCCTGGGAAGTTGAAGTCAAATTCTGATTTTGCCCTGGTCCGAAATCTGGCTTAATCTGGCTTAATTCCGCCTCATCCGGCTTAATCTTGCTTCGTCCGAGGCCCACTCCAGCGTAACAGCTCCCAAATGGGGCTTAATCCTTTTGAGTATTTCCGACGAAAGCCTCCCAGGAGTTGCCTCCTAAACAGCGCCGTTGGGCCTCCCAGCGTAGGAATATACCGACCCGTCATATCTAGGGATGCCTCCGAGAACGGCAAACACGACGGCGTTGCGAATGGGTGAGTGGTCAGAAACCACGGGCAACGGATAATTGGGAAAAACGGGAATGGGGCCCATTGCGAGCGCGCCCGTCCAAGTAGCCGATGTTTAGCAACAAATCTTCGGGCTCGCGCGTGAGACGGTTGAAGCGGAGAACAGCGCCGCGCTGGATCGCGACAACGATAAGCGATCCCGCAGGCACCCTGGGCACGAGGCAACTGGGCAGGGCTCTCTTGGACCGTCGAGGGCCCTCTTATGGATCTCTTGGGCCGTCCTGGAGCAATCGTTGGGGCCTTTTGGGCCGCTTTGAACGGTGTTGAAAACCAATGGTGGGGCGATTTTGGCCTCTTGAGTCCCTCTTCTGGTCCTCTTGGAATTGTCTCGGGGCGTTTGGGGGGGCTTATTGGGCCGTCTTGAGGGTATCTTTGTTGTTTTTGAAGCCTCCTGGGCGCCTGGGCGTGTTGGAGCCCAGCTTGAGCAAGGGGGTCGGCCAATACCTCTTGCGCCACCAGGCGAGAGCCCTATTTCAACCAGTGCCTTTTGTTCCCCTCTTCTCCGTCTTCCCCCCGCCACCCTAGTTCCTATTTGGCCAGGCAGCATAGTCTGCCAGGAATTGACGCAGCACTCAAGGAAGCGAACATATGTATTATATCGGAGGTGAGGGGGTGAGATCGAAGAGGAACGGAGAGCCCCCCTACCGGGAAATCGATTTCGGTTTCGTGTTCGTGCGTGCCGTGCGGGCGAGGCGAAGCTGCGTGGGCGGGCGAGAGAAAGTCTCCTGTGGCTGAGGCGCGGCCGGACCAAATGTCTCCCTTCCGGGCGGCCGGGGGCCCGCGGTGTCCCGCCGGTGTCCCGCTGGTGTCCCGTGTGGCTGAGGCGCGGCCGGACCAAATGACTCCCTTCCGGGCGGCCGGGGGCCCGCGGTGTCCCGCCGGTGTCCCGTCGGTGCCCCGTCGGTGTCCCGATAATGATGATGTTGATGATGATCATGATGGTTGTGTTGATGGTGATGATGATGACGATGATGGTGTCCTGGTGATGTTGATGATGATGATGATGTGATGATGATGATGATGAGATGACATGATGTTGATGTTCTGCCCGTTGTTGTTGATGATGATGTTGGTAATGCTGATGCTGCTGATGATGATTATGGTATCCCGATGATGATGATTATGACGGTGGTGATGATGATTGTGATGGTGATGGTGTACCGAGATGATGATGATGCTGTTGATGATGATGCTGATGATGATGATGGTGTCCCGATGATGTTGATGATGCTGTTGATGATGATGATGATCATGAGCTGATGATGATGATGGTGTCCCGATGTTGTTGATGATGTTGACGATGACAACGATGGTGACCATGATGGTGTCCCGATGATGATGATGCTGATGGTGATGATGACGATGGCTGTGTCCCGCTGGTGATGTTGATGATGTTGTTGATGATGATGAGATGACGATGATGTTGATGTTTCTGCCCGTTGTTGTTGATGATGATGTTGGTAATGATGATGCTGCTGATGATGATTATGGTATCCCGATGATGATGATTATGACGGTGGTGATGATGATGGTGATGGTGATGGTGTACCGATGATGATATTGATGATGATGCTTGGTGACGATGATGCTGCTGATGATGATGGTGTCCCGATGATGTTGATGATGCTGTTGATTATGATGATGATTAAATGATGATGATGATGGTGTCCCGATGTTGTTGATGATGTTGACGATGACAATGATGGTGACCATGATGGTGTCCCGATGATGATGATGATGATGCTGATGGTGATGATGACGAAGGCTGTGTGCCGATGATGATGATGATGATGATGATGATGATGATGATGATGTTGCTGACTATGATGAGATGATGATGGGGATGATGATGATGGCCTGATGATGATGGCGTTGATGATGATGACGATGATGATGATGACGACAGTGTCCCGATGACGATGACAATGATGGTGGTGGTGATGATGATGATGATGACGTTGAATGTTAGATCGATTGTGATATTGGTAGTGAGGTCGATAGTGAGACCGAATGTGAGATCGATTGTGAGATCGATAATCAGATCAATTGTGAGACCGAGCGAATGAGATATATCGAATGAGATCGATTGTGAGATCGATCGAGTGAGATCGATCGAGCGAGACCGATAGTGAGATGGATAGTGAGACCGATCGAGTGAGACGCTGCATCCTCCCCCCCCGAACCTCCTTATCACCCGAAGGGTGGTCGTATAGGTAAGTTCAGTGGATAAGCGACGGTTCCGTGCAGTATCGGCGCGGTCCGTCGCCAATTCAGGCAGCGTTGGCCTCCTGTTTCGCGGGGCACCTTCCCCGAGCTGTGGAGCTGGCGGCACACTCCAGATCCATGGATCCATAGTCCATTGTAGCGTACTCCAGATTTCGTAATAGAGGGAGGGGGGTCTCATTTCGGGGGGGGGGTCTCTTCCAGGCTATCTTGGAGGGCCTGGGGGGTCTGGGGACGATGTTTTGGAGGGTTCTCCCACGGGGGAGGTCTGAAATGGCTTGTCTTGGAGGGTCCAGATCCCCTCCCTTTTATTAAGAAATCTGGAGTAAGCCCGAAGTGTGGATCCGCTTTCCACGCACCCGCTGCCTGGGATCTGCGCGCTGATACCATCACGTCGCCTCCCGCACCACCCTGGCAGTGGGGGCGCCGCAGGAGGCCGTGGACGCCACCCGCATGCGGCTGCCCAAGAGGGCGCCCGGGGAGGACCCCGCGGCCCGTCGGTGTGCCAGCCAGCGCGTTTAGAGAGGACTAGGAGGAGGAGGAGGAGGAGGAGGAGGAGGAGGAGGAGGAGGAGGAGGAGGTGAGAAAGGTAAAGGTAAAAGGTGCTTGGGGAGGTGTGAGGAGCAGGAGCAGGAGGAGGAGGAGGAGGAGGAGGAGGAAGAGGAGGAGGAGGAGCAGGAGGAGGAGGAGGAGGAGGAGGAGGAGTCTCAAGGTTTTCTGATGAGTTTATCGCTTCTTTGCGGTGTTTCGGCCGCTGTCGATCAGCCGCCGTCGCCGCCAATGCCAATGCCGCCAACGCCGTCGCCGCCGCAGCCGCCAACGCCGCCGCCAGCGCCGTCTCCAACGCCGCCGCCGCCGCAGCCGCCTTCGCCGCCGATCCCGTCATCGCCGCACTCGTCGTCGTCGTCGTCGTCGTCGTCGTCGTCGTCGTCGTCGTCGTCGTCGTCGTCGCTCTCTCTTAGCCGCCGCCGCGAGGGCGACGGCGGCACACCCAGCGGGGGGACCGCCAGGAGTTTTCCGGCAAGAGCTCGGGCCTCCGGCGGCCGTTCGGGGCGAGCCGGGCGCTCCGGAATCGGGGGGGCCCCGGGATCGGGGGGAGGCCCCCACCGCGCCACGAGGATAGATCCGTTCCAGTGCGTTCCGGAGCGCCCTCTGGGCGTTCCGGAGCGCTCTGAGGAGGCCGCGGCGTCCGTTCTCCGGAGCCGCCGGATCTCAGAGACTCTCGGTTTCTCGTCATTCGTTTCTACCCTCTCGTCACTCGTTTCTACCCTCGATTTCTCTCAGAGATTCTCGATTTCTCGTCACTCGTTTCTGGACTCTCCCTGGCTTCGAACGTCTCCTATGGTGACACCAGCATGGACTCTCGGGGCTCCGCGCGGGTTGCTTGGATCAGCCCCAGAGTCCCCTCGCGGCGGCTCTGCAGGCGCCCCCGCGCGCTCATGCGCGCCAGGGAGGGGGTCCAGGGCCGATCCAAGAAATCAGCGCGGACTTCCGAACGTTCACGCCTGTGTTCTTGTGATCCTCGGTGGAACTCGGCGGCGAGCCCTGGGGGGGACCTGAGAGTGGGCAGGCCTTCTCAGAGGGCGGCGGCTGCTCTCAGACGCCCTCGCGCCTTCCGAGAAGCTCCATTTGTGCCTTCGGAGAATCCGCAGAAGACTCCCCAGAAGACGCCACGGCTTCTGAGAGAAGCCCCGGCGCCCTCATGAGAAGGCCCGCCCCCCCTCCCCACTTCCCCCCCCCCGGGCTCGCCGCCGAGGAGTGCCTTCGGCGAGGCGCCGCTGCTGAAACGCCTCCCGAGGCCAGACCGCGGCTCCGCGCGCGTGCGCGTCCCCTCGCAGGACCCCGCGCCGCCGCCGCGGCCAGGGCTCCACGGCTCCGGCTCGGCGACGCTGCCGTCGGGCGTCCCGGAGGCCCAGCGAGCCCAGTGCGCTGTGTGCGGGCGACAGGCATCATAATTACCCTTTATCCGCGGCCTCGCTGGCCGGGCCTCTGGGCCGCGACCCCGCGGATACACGGCGTTATTTCGTGCGGCTGCTCCTCCGCATGGAACATCTCCCGTGCGATTGCGTACCCGCGGGACCGCGCCCCGGAGTCCGTCCAGACCGCGAGGGCGCGGATGCGGGTCTGTTCGCCGCTCGTGGTGCTCTGCTGCCCTTTCGCCTCGCTGTCGCCTCGTCGGGTTCCTGGGAGGCCCTCGTCGCCACGCCTGCATTCGCCTCGGAAAGCTGGTCAGAGCGCACCCTGGGAGAGGTCAGGGGAGTAGCGGTGTCGGTATCTGTTGGTTGCCCTTGGGGACAGGGGGGAAGGAGAAGGGAGGCGAGAGAAGAGGAAGATGATGGTAAACAAAAGACAGCAGAGGAAGACGACGGCCAATCGTGCCCACCGTGCCTGCTAAATGGAGGGGGGAGGGGAGAAGGGAGAAGGAGGAGGGGAGGCGTGAGAAGAGGAAGATGATGGCGAGCAAGAACAGCTGAGGATGATGTCGGGGATCCTGTGCCCCGCCAAGATGCGCTGGCCATGCCAGCTGAGTGGGAGGGCCGATATTATGTTTGGTCGCAGCGCGGGCGAACGCACGGCGCGGTCGGGGCGGCGGAGGGTGCAGACACCCGACGGTGTGATTTATCAGGCCTTGGCCGCAAGAGGTGCCGACCACCTCCCCAGGGGGCAATTCGTTTTTCCTTACATTTAAAATCAGGTTACTGATTTCTTCGACCACCCCCCCGGGGGGCAATTCGTTTTTCCTTACATTCAAAATCGGGCGATTGATTTCTTTGCACAACCCCATGCAGGATCTCCCTCTCCTCCTCCTCCTCCTCCTCCTCCTCCTCCTCCTCCTCCTCCCTCCTCCTCCTTCCTCTCCCCTCCTCCTTCTCCTCCCTCCTCTCCTCCTCTCCTCCCCTATCTCTTCCTCAAGCACCCACGTACTCCCCATCATCATCATCATCATCATCATCAGCAGCAGCAGCATCATCATCAGCATCATCATTATCGTCATCGGCATCATCAGCAGTATCATTATAATTACGGGTATTCTCATTACCAGTATGATCACCAGCAGCAGCATCAGCATCAGCAGCATCATCATCATCGTCACCGTCACATTCACCATCCCCATCATCACCAACACCATCCTCATCCTCATCACCATAATCATCATCACCAATAACATCAGAAACAACAACAGCACCAGCATCACCAACAGCTGTAACGACAGCAACAACACCAACCGCATCATCATCATCAGCAGCAGCATTAGCAGCCTCAGCATCAGCATCATCATCATCAGCACCATCATCTGACAAGCTCACACACTCACTCATCATCATCACTCATCATCATCATCATCATTCATCATCATCACTCATCATCACCATCCACACTGACATACTCACATACCCACCCCGAGGGAAGTCTCGAGCGGGAGCCCCCTCCCTATGCGGCCAGCACTCCCTGTTCGCAATCCGAGCGGGTCATCGGCAAACTACACCAGGCACAACCATTGAGTACCCCAAGGGGGCAAATCAGGAGGATGTCTTCAGCGGGGGCCTCGTTCGTGAATGAATGGCGAGGAAGTCTCAGGCGGCTTGCATTTCATGTTGGTAATCCGAGCGGGTCATCGGCAACCTTTACCAAGCATAGCACTTGAGCACTCCAAGGGGGCAAATCGTGAGAACGTCTCAAGCAGGGGCCTCGTTTGCGAGTGAATGGCCAGGAAGTCTCCAGCGGGGTCCTCGTTTGTGAGTGAACTGTAAAGAACTCTCATGCGGAAGCCCTATGCTTATGGGACCCGCATGTCATGTTGGTAACCCGAGCGGGTCACTGGCAAGCTGCACCAGACATAGCATTTGAACACCTTACGGGGGGAAATCGTAAGGATGTCTCCAGCGGCGGCCTCGTTTGAGAGTGAATAGCGAGGAAGTCGCGGGTGGCAGCTCCCGCCCTATGGGGCCCGCAGCTCATGATGGTAATCCGAGCGGGTCATCGGCAAACAGTACCAGGCATAGCACTCGAGCACCCCGAGGGGGCAAATCGTGAGGATGTCTCAAGCGGGGTCCTCGTGTGTGAGTGAATTTCAAGGACGTCTCAGGCGGGAGCCCCCTCCTGGGGCCCGCACTTCATGTTTGCTGTCCGAGTGGGTCATCGGATTATTCTACCAGGCATAGCCCTTGAGCACCCCAAGAGGGCACATCGTGAGGATGTCTCCAGCGGGCCCTCCCTCCCTAAGGGGCCAGCAATATATGTTTGTAGTTGGGCTCGTCTGGTCTGAATGTGGTCTCGCTATAGTGTCCCGACCTCCATGTTGGAATCCGAGCAGGGTCATCCAAATCTTGTAGCTGCGTCACTTTCTCCCTCCTTAGGCTTGAATCTGGAGGAAGTCTCGAGCGGGAGCCTCGTCAGTGAGTGAATCGCGAGGAAGTCTCGAGCGGAAGCCTTCGGAAAGCCTCCGACGGTGACGGGAACCTTCAGGAGGCTTCCGGAAGCCATTGGAACCTTCAGGAGGCCCCAGGAGGCACCAGGAGGCCCGGAGGCCGCATGAGGCCTCAGAGCCACCAGGAAGCCATAGGAGGCCTTTAGGAGTTCACCAGGAGGCCACGAGAGGCACCGTGAGGTCCCAAGGGTACCCCGGGCCCCGGGAGGTTCCAGGAGGCCCCAGAAGGCTCCAGGAGGCCCCAGGAGGCTCCAGGTGGCAGCAGGGGGCCCCCGGAGGAGCCCAAGAAGGGGGCCTGAGCCCCCGAAGGCTCCAGGAGGCAACCGGAGGCCCCAGGAGGAGGCAGGAGGCTCAAGGGGGATGCAGGAGGAGGCCAGAGGAAAAAGCAGGACGAGGATGAGGATGAGGAATGTCGAGCAGGAGGAGAAGGACGAGGAGGAGGAGCAGCAGGAGGAGGAGCAGGAGGAGGAGCAGCAGGAGGAGGAGCAGGAGGCAGGCAGAGGAAGAAAGAGAGCCAGGACGAGAAGGAGGATGAGGACGAGGAGGAGGTGGAGGAGGAGGAGGAGGACGATGACGAAGAGGACAACGAGGACGACGAGGACGATAAGGACGAGGACGAGGAGGAGGAGGAGGAGGACATGGAAATGGAAGAAATGGAGCAGCAGCAGCAGGCAGGAGGAGGCAGGAGGCAGGATGCAGGAGGCGGCATGGGGAGGAGGAGGAGGAGGAGGAGGAGGAGGAGGAGGAGGAGGAGGCAGAAAGAGGCGGAGGCAGGAGGGTGAGACAAGGGGAGAGGGAGGAGGCAGGAGGGGTAGAAGGAGGTGGCAAGACAAGCTAGGTGCGCTCGCGTCATATCTGACGTCCTATCCCTCCCTCCCATCCCTTACCATGGCGTAGATCTCCCTATTCGCACAATCGGATGTAGTAGCATGGCATAGCATTACATGGCACAGCACGGTGTTGAAGATGAATGAGTAGTATTACATAGCATGGCGTGGCGACGCCCCACTGTGGGTGGGGGCTTCTGCGGCCCCAGAAATCAAAGAATCGACACCGAATGTGGAGTCACTTCCGATGGTTTCTCTGGGAGGCATTGTTTCTGATTTGGGGGCCTATTTGAAAAGACCGAAGACCATGCCGTGGCATGGCACTGGAAATAATGACGCCAGCGCTGCAGCGGGAGCACGAGTCGGAACGAGCGGAAGCGCAGAAATGAGGCCAGCGCTGCAGCGGGAGCACGATTCGGAACGAACGGAACTGCGGAAATGAGGCCAGCGCTGCAGCGGGAGCACGATTCGGAACGAGCCGTAGCCCGAAAATGAGACCAGCGCGTCAGCGAGAGCAGCATTTTGAACAAAAAACCAAGCGCGGAAGTGCGGAAATGAGGACACGTAGCCTGACATAGCATGGCGTGGCGACGGTCCAAAGTGGGGGGGGGGCTTCTGTGGCCGAAAAAATCAACGAGTACACACCGCATGTGTAATCACTTCAGATGGTTTTTTCGGGAGGCCATGTTCCAGATTTTGAGGCCTATTGAAATAGATCTGGCAGGACCGAACACCATGCCGTGGCATGGCGATGGAAATAATGACGCCAGCGCTGCAACGGGAGCACGATTCGGAACGAGCGGAAGCGCGGGAATGAGGTCAGCGCTACCGCGGGAGCACGATGCGGACCGAGCGGTACCCCGAAAATGAAGCCAGCGCTTCAGCGAGAGCAGCATTTGGGAAACAAATCCAAGCGAAAACCCTTTTCCTGGGAATCCTGTGTAAAAAACAGTACGCGGAGGGGGGTCGGCCATTTTCTGGTCGCCACGAGGGGAGAGAGGAGAGTAGTATTCGTATTGCTTAATTGTGGAGATCCTCAGGCAAGCTGTACCGATTCTCACGCGGAGTCTTCCCTTCGCAGTAGTTGTCAGATGAGAAAAGGCACCCATACCATAACCCCTCCCGCCGTTTCCCCCTCTGTTGGGTTCCCCATCTTCTTCCTGGAACCTGCTCTGGGGGCGCCGAACGGTGTGGTGACACACCGGTTCGGCTAGAGGGGTTCTTAATTCCCCCCCTCGGTCAGAGGGGGGGGATGACGTGAGCAAGCAGCCTACAGCCAGCCTCGGTCGGGCAAGGCTGGCCCGCCGTCGGAGGCCTCCGACGAGGCCCCCCGAGAGCTGTCGAGGGGCACGTCTGGCCCCTCCTGCAACCCTCGTCAAAATTAGCATCAAAAATGTCTGACGAGGGTACTTTTGATGTTAATTTTGACGAGGGTAGTGGGCTTCCTTCTGGAGGAGTCTCGCCCCCTCCGCCCCCCCGCGCGGGGACCCCAAACAGTGAAGGTTCGGGGCCACCGCGCGGTTTTGCGACGCGGGTCCTTCTCCGAGGACGCGGTTCTGCGACGCGGGTCCTTTGCGGCCGGGGCTTCCAGGGTCCTCCGAAAGCGTGCGTGACGGACCGTGCGGTGACGTCACCTGGGACTTGGAAGTCACCATGCGGTCCGTCATTACACGGTTTTAGAGCTCCGAGCATTTTTGATGGCTTCGGGGCCAGAAGAGGACCCTGGGAGGCCGAAAGTGTCAGGATAATCCCGATTTTGGAGCGCAGTCCTGCGGAGGCCAGGGGTGCCAAAAGAGGGATACGAGAGAACAGGAAGATGATGGGTGGGGCGCCTCCGCACGCGCCAGCAGCGGTGCGGTGCCTCGATCAGGCCCAGGAGGAAGGTACTTCGCTCCAGAGCGCCCATGGGAGGCCGTCGACGAGGCGCGGCTGCCGGTAGACGCGGGGCCCCATGACCCTTCGGAAACCGCTGGGCAGACACGACGACGACGTGGTGGCCTCCCGCCCGGAGGCCCAAGAGCAGACCAGCCCCCAATGGGGAGGTTGTGGCGCTTGCCCACCTCTCTGCTCGCCTTCCTCCTTGTCCTGCATCCTCCGAGAGATTATTCGGAGGGCAACAGGCCCTGACTGACTTGTCTGTTTGTCCGTCTCAGTGCGGTGTGGAGCCATTTGCGTTGTGCGTATGAGGGCTGCACTGGCGCGAGGCTAGGCGACACGAGCCTTCGACGGCGAGCTTCCTTGCCCCCCGGGGAGCCCATCAGTTTCGACTCCCTCGAGAGCGCTTCGAAGCGCTCTCAGTCGGAGGCCAGAGTTTACACAGTCCACCGCCTGGAGGACCGACGTCCCAGGCAGCGCCTCCGACGCCGCCCCTGGCGTGCTCGATAAATCTGCGCGGACCTCCAACGGCCTCTGTCCATGCAGATTTCTCACGTTCTAGAACATGGGGCTGGAGCGGATGCGGTCGGAGGATCGCGCCATATCGCCAGTCGCGATACGGCGCAACAGGCCGATGCGACTCGATTCGCCGGCCAGGGCCGCGACTTCGAGTCTGTTCGATTCGGTTCGATTCACTGGCATCGGTCTGGGCGGCTGCCAGCCAGAGCAGTGCGCGACGATCCGACTTCGATCCGATTCGGGAAGATTCCCTGGCGATCCCATCCGTTTCCGAGCCCATGCGATCTCGCAAGTCGATCCAGCTCAGGTCTTCGTGATTTGGGACCAGCCCTTCTCCATCCCTTTAGGCCTCCTAGATTCAGTCCTCCTCCTCCTCCTCGTCCTCCTCCTCCTCCTCCTCCTCCTGCTCCTCCTCCTCCTCCTCCTCCTCCTCCTCCTCCTCCTCCTCCTCCTCCTCCTCCTCCTCCTCCTCCTCCTCCTCCTCCTCCTCCTCCTCCTCCTCCTCCTCCTCCTCCTCCTCCTCCTCCTCCTCCTAGATTCAGAGCGCGAATTACCTACCCCGCTTTCGCTTCCAGGCAAAACCAAGTCATACCACGCGCCTCCTCGTCAAGCGGCCTGACCAGTACAGGCCGTTGTTTGGCACCGTTTGGTATCTCTTGGAAGCGAGGGTTGTCAAAAGCGAGGTAGGTTTGTTTTCCCCCTATAGATGGGGTCCGAGTAGATGGGGTCCACGGATCGCGCCGCATCGCCGATGCAGCGTGGATGCAGTTCGATGTGGATCCCCACGCGGGCGTCGCCGATGCATCGCCGACCTCATCGATGCGTCCTCCCTGCACGGGTGGTGCGTCGGCGACGTATCGGCGATGCGGCGCGGTCCTCCGACCCCATGCACTCCGACGTTCAGAGTAGGAGCACGGACCACCGCCACGGAGAGCCCATCGGGGCGGGACCGACCTCTGAGCAGTGGCACGCCTGAGCGTCGCCCCCTGCTGGGTGACGCTCGCCACCGCCCGGGGGCCGGCTCCCTACCAATGGGTTCTCGGAGGCGGTGGTCCACGTTCCTCCTCTGAGACGTCATCTGAGCGACGGAAAAAAGGGGGTCGTCTGTGCCGGACATTGGCGCATGAGCTGCCCGCGTAATGTCTCGCGCAAGCGTCCTCGTCTCCAATGTAGCGTGCCGCGCTGGCGGCCCGCGTAAGCAGCAACGTAGGGTCGCTATGCCATCGCGCGCAGGACCCGTTTTTTCTTGTCGCTCATTTGGGAGGACTCGGACCCCGCCGTCGCCGCTTCACCGCCGATGCCTCAGCGAGCCACGCCGCGCGAGCGTCGTCACCGCGCGGTGTGTGCGCGGCGCGGCGCTCGCGGCAGGACCTCCCGCCGCCGCCGCCGCGGCCGGGGCCTCGCGGCGCCGGCGGCGCTGGTAGGCCGGCGCCGGCGGGCGGCGCCCGGGAGGCGGCGCCAGAGTTGCGGGCCGGGGTCCTCGGGGGCGCCGAAAGGGGCCGACCTTTGGACAGCACGTGCTGTTGGGCTTTGTATACCCACCCTGTCCGTGCCCATGTCGGGCGCCGAAGTCGGGGGGCATCGAGAGGGGCCGAGGGCCGGTCGGCTGCGCGTCAGAGTGGCCCGTCGCCGGTGGCCTCGAGCTCGCCATGGGGGAAACGGGTCCTGAGGGACGCGGGTCATGAGGTTTTCGCCAACTCTGGGCTTGAAAACGATTCGGGAGGGAAAGCTGGTCCTGGGGAGTCCTGGGGTAAGGCCCCAGGGTCCAGGACCCGTTTCCCACGGGACTCGTTTCCCCCATGCCAATCTGGTGCGGGCGCACACGGGGTCCCGCCAGCATTGGCTGGCGCGTTTGGATCGCTTGGATCTGGCCCCCATAGCGGCCCCCTAAGTCCGCGCACCAATCTTAGACAGAAGGCCGCCTGCCCAACAGCGGCCGCTGTCGGTTTGGGGGGGCAACATCTGTTTTGAGCATCGTACCCATACTTTCCGTACCCATTCCGGGCGTCCAGATCACCATCGCGCACATGCCTCTGGCCATGATCACCATGTTGAGCACCACCCCTCCGTCCTGGCCGCCTGGCCTCCTTCTTCGGCGCACCCGCAGGGGCCGAGGGTCGCTTATCCAGGTTACGGCCAGGGGTGCGGAGGTGAGCGCGCTTCGCGCGTCGGGGCTCGGGTCGGAGAGGCGCCCTTTCTCCAGAGCGGCGACGCGAGGCCGCGAGGTTGACCGCGCGTTGCTCAAGAGAGGAAAGCATACAAATTAGCCTGACGAAGGACCCGACCATATGCAGTTGTGGGCACCGACGTTGTATGCCATATGCACCGCATTCGGTGGGGCTCCCAATGCGGCCACGAAACGTGTGAGGGGTGTGCCAAGACGGGCGCGGCGGGCGCGTGCCAGCGCTGGCATCTGGGCCTTCGGTGGAGCTCCCTATGGGGCCACGAAACGCGTGAGGGCTGTGCCAAAATGGGTGCGGTGGGCGCATGCGAGCGCTGGCAGTTGGGCCTTCGGTAGAGCTCCCCATGGGGCCACGAAACGAGCGAAGGGTGTCCCAAAATGAGCGCGGTGGGCGCATGCGAGCGCTGGCATTTGGGCCGTCGGTGGAGCTCCCCACGGGGCCACGAAACGTGTGAGGGGCGAACCCAAAGGGGTGCGGTAGGCGCATGCGAGCGCTGGCATTCGGGATTTTGGTGGAGTTCCCCATGAGGCCACGAAACGTGTGAGGAGTGTGCCAGAATGGGGCACAGTGGGCGCATGCGAGCGCTAGCATGTGGGCCTTCGGTGGAGCTCCCTATGAGGTCACGCAACGCGTGAGCAGTGTGCCCAAATTGGGTGCGGTGGCGCATGCGAGCGCTGGCATTAGGGCCTTCGGTGGGGCTCGCTATGGGGCCACGAAGCGGTTGAGGGGGTGTGCAGAAATGGGTGCGGCGGGTGCATGCGTGCGCTGGCATTTGGGCATTCGGTGGAGCTCCCCACGGGGCCATGAAACGTGTGAGGGGCGAACCAACATGGGCGCGTTGGGCGCATGCGAGCGCTGGCACTTGGGCTGTCGGTGGAGCTCCCTATGGGGCCACGAAGCGTTTGAGGGGTGTGCCAAAATGGGCGCGGTCGGCGCATGCGAGCGCTGGAATTTGGGCACTTCGGTGGAGCCCCCTTTATGGGGCCACGAAACGCGTGAGGGCTGTGCCGAAATTGTTGCGGAGGGCAGGGACACGGATGGGACGAGAGAGGAAGAGGATGGAAGAAGGAAGGAGGCGACGCGGGACGCTCTCTTTTCAAAGCGATGGTCCACCACCACAGGATATTTAGTTGGGAATAATCGCCGATTCCAAGGAAATTATGAAAAAGATTGGAAGTGGAGGGGAAAACGAATATCCTGAAAGCATATGAAACGATGGTCAATCCTTGGATGTGTGTCTCTTTGTTTGTGTGTCCCTGGGCCCCTTTAGTTGCCCATCGCGTGGCGCGACGGCGAAGTTAGGTGACCGACAGGCTGTAAGCTGTCGGCCTATGGGATCAAAGCGCAGTTTTACTGCCCCTGGCCAGGCTCATCCTGGGCCAGGATCGGTGTGTATGCCCCCGTGACCAGGCCAGCGGGGGGGGGGTCGGCTCCCGGGCCAAGATGAGCCTGGTTAGGGGCGGTGGATACGTATCGACTTCGTCGCGCTAGATATCAGGAGGGGAAGCCAGACAGAGACACAACAATAAGCGTCGATCCCCAGGAACATCTGGCAACATATGGGAAGTGAAAGGGAAACCGACATTCCAGAAAATATGTGAAAATTCTGGGATGTGTGTCTGTTTATTTGTGTGTCCCTAGGGCCCCTTCAAGATAGGAGGCAAGCAGCCGGGGGGAAGGGCCTTCAAAGGAAGCAGGCGTCTTCCTAGGACCCCTCTCGCGGCACCCCCCAATTGCGCGCAGCCGTCTTGACGCCGAAAGAGCAGAGGATCGAGGTTCGCATCGAGGCTTGCGGACGTGTTTGGCTCTTCCTAGGCCGTCGGGGGCTTCTGGTGGAGTTTGAGGGTTTCCCCGGTCCCCCACAGGATGGAGACTTCCAGAGGCCTACAGAGCGGGAGGGTCTAGGCTCGAGGTTTCCCGAGGCCTTCTTGGTTGGATGGGGACCTTGAAGAATGGAGACCCTCTGGAGGGTTTAGATTCGACGCCTCCGGGGGCTTCCTCCACCTGATGGAGGCCACCGCTGGATGGAGCCCCTCGCCTCCGCCTTCCACACCTACCCGGGGGGTGTGGAAGGTGTTCCATGTCTCGCGTGTCTTACATTGTTTGTTTGCGCCTGTTTTGTCGTTGTTGGTCGTCTGTGTCGCTGTAGTTTTGTACCAGTAGTAGTTGTGGTCTGTGACAACGAACCCTTAGACAGCAACCAGCCATGTTGATCAATATGGGATTGAAAAATGTAGGAAACAAGTAGTCTTCCAGTATAGAAAAGTATAACATAATAGGTTTTAAGTAGGAACAAGTAGTTTCAAAGTAATGTCATGTAGGAAATAGTTTTCCCAACCTAGACATAACATTACAATGCCAATTTGCGGGTTGATCAGGACTTGCGCTGCAAATGTGTCGCATTGCAACCATCATTGCCGCGGCCATCCCGGGCGCGTTGCGCTGCGACGCATTGCTTGAGGTTCGCAGGCGCGGGGCCGCGCTGCGCGAAATAAGCGCGTAGTGTCATCAGGGGTCATAAATGCACGGTCGCAGCGCCGGCGTCTTCTTGTAGTCTACACGGCGGCCCGCCGGCCCACATTGGCGCGCGCTGGCGCAGCCCGGGCCCGGATTTGCAAAACGCGCCGGCGCGGCCGGGCCGATATTTGCACGCGCCGGCGCGGCCGTGCCCGGATATGAGAAACGCGCCGGCTCGGCCCGGCCCGGATCTGCAACGCGCGACGTCGCAGCCCCGCTTGAAACAATAATGATAATAATAATGCGCGCCAGCGCGGCCGGCCCAGGTTCGCAAAGCGCGCCGGCGCCGCCTGCCCGGAACTCCCGCGCGCGGCGCCTCGCGGCGCCAGCGGGCCGCCGGAGGGGGGGTGAAGCAAGTTATTTAATAGTAACTTCAAAGCTACTTTAAGAGCATATCCCGGGATGCCCGCGGGCCCCCCGGGGGAGGCCCAAAAAAAATAGTTCCCGGAGCTGCGCAAGCTATTTGGAAACTACCTGAGATGTGCTCAACCAAGTAATGGTAGTTAGGTCGAAGTTGTGGAAGTTAGGTTAATGTTGCGGAAGATGGTTTGTCATCGTTTTTTTATTTGTTGTTTTGAAAATTAACTTCCCCCTATCTTAAACCACTCTATCCCCCCCTATGTTCAACCATTCTGTCACTTTACCATGCGCGAGAAATCGCGTCGCGAATGCAGATGCTATTTTTTGGCCAGCCACGTTTTTCAATGCTGTTGCGTTATGTCTGCCCCCATAGCTTCCCCCCCCCCCAGCGCTTTGCGATGCCAGCGCTTGCCGGGCGCGTTGCGATGCATGCGCTTCGCGCCCCTTCCAACCGAGCGCATTGCGCCCCAGTTTGAATTCAACCATGCGCTTCGCGCTTTCATGTGCTCAGTTCAATCAAGCGCTCTGCGCTCCAGTATAAAAGCGCGTTGTGCTTCGTTGTGGATTCAAGCGCGTTGCGCTCCACTTCAATTCAGCGCGTCGCGCCCCAGCTGTGTTTCTCGCGCATGTCCCCGCGCGTGAGCGCCGTTGCGCTGTCCCCCCCCCCTTCCCCCCTCCTCTGCCCCCCCCCCCTCCTCGCCCCCGCAAGCGCGTGGCGCTGTTCACTCTAGCGCAGAGCGCTGTCGCGCGCGCAGCCGCCGCTTAGGCTCGAGCGCGCGCGCGCGCGGCCGCGCGGCCCGCGCGGGGCTAGCGACTCGTTTTGGGCGGCGTCCGCGGCCCGCAGAGCCAGGCCGAGGGCCGCGGCGCCATGGGGGATCTGAACGAGGATCTGCGGGCCCGCCATGGGGCGACAACGGTGCTCCTGCAGCAGGCCCCAGCGAGCGCGCGCGCCGCCGCTTCTGAGGTCCGGGCGAACGCGTTTAGATCGTCTGCGCGCTCGGCGACGGCCGCCCTGAATTCGACTGAGGCGTCAGACCTGCTGGCGCCCCCGGCGCAAGTGGGCTTCGCTGCGAGCGATTTGGCCGCAGTGGCCGAGTCGCTGAAGGCCGCCGCCAAGAAGGAGAAGACGAAGGAGACGAAGGAACGGAATCCGACGCAGGATTTCAGAGATGTTTTCAGCTACTTCACAGAGGCCGAGCGGGGCGCCATGTCGAGCCAGCGGGGGCGGCCGCTAGAAGTCAGGGGGGCCCTCTTCGACCGCGCGGCGGCCTTGGGGGCGCGGGCGCCCTCGGAGGATGCGAAGCGCGCGCTGTCGGCGCGCCTGCCCTGCAGACAGAGGGCATGAAAGCGCGCGCCAGCCAGGCGAAGATGATCCAGACGCCTGACGCACTCAAGAGCGCCTGGAAAGCACGAGTG